GTGCTATAGGCTCTGTGTCTCCAAGATGTAGTACCCAAAAAATCAAACTAAACCCATTGCTGTCGAGTTGATTCCAACTCATAGCAACCCTGTAGGACAGAGTAGAACTGCCCCAGGGATTACAAGGCTGTAATCTTTAGGGAAGCCGACTGCCACATCTTTCTTCTGCAAAGTGACTGGTGGGTTCATACCGCCAACCTTTTGGTTAGCAGCCAAGTGCTTAACCACTGTGCCACCAGGGCTCCTCCAAGATATAGTAAGGACTAGATATTTAACTGAAGGTTTATAAGGCACTCTCAAACAGGGAATTAATTTGAGGTATATCTTCCTTTATAAAATTTATTTTTTGAATTTTTTTATGTAAACCAAACTTTTGGAAATCTAATTCTTAAAATGCATAACGTGTCCTTATAGAAAGAGTTCTAACCACCCGGTAACGAATGGTTTACTGAAGAAAAGAACCAGTTTGTAGTCAACAATGAGCATGCATTGAGCTGCTATGTGTTCAGGACTGAGCCACGGCAGGAGGAAACAGAAGTATTGGGGAGAGTAAGCTGATGGGGATTCCCTGGGTGCTGCAAACAGTTAATGCACTTGGCTGTTAACTGAAAGACTGGAGGTTCGAATCCACCCAGAGGTGCATCAGAAAGAAAGGCCTGGTGATCTACTTCCGAAAAATCAGCCACTGAATATCTTACGGAGTGCAGTTATACCCTAACACATGGGATTGCCGTGGCGGCAACTGGTGGTTTTTTAAGCCGATGGCAGCTGTAGTTTGTACATGTGGAATTCTGTAGTTGTGCTGAAGAGGAAAGGGGGCTAGTGCCACTGAGAGCCAAACCATCCAGGACCAGAGTGGATCTAAATGTCCCATATTTACGTAGACTGGAAAAGCCACCTTAATCCCTGTTCTAGTGCTCCATTTCTAGAAGTGATGACGCTATCTTCCTGTTTCTCTTGCTGAAGACCTTGGAACTCCCTTTAATTTTCACACTCCTCCCTTCTTTTCAGCCCTACCTGCCCTGTGACCTCTCTCTGGACTCTTGCAATGGCCAACTGTCCATATAAAGGTCTATTTTCTTCTTAGCCATCTTCTATATTGCTGCCTTTCTTATTAGCCCCACTTCACAATCACTCTTTTTACGTGGATTTGCTTACCATTGACAGAGAATAAACACTTGTTAGCAAGTCCCAGAAAGGAGCCTCAGTGATCCAGAGGACCGTAAGATCGACACTTACTAAAAGGAAGATGCTTTGATATTTTCTGAAACGTGTTAAATTCCTTGGTTAAAATTTATTGTTGTTGTAGAGGAAGAAGAGTCAGGAAGAGGAGGATATGGAATGTGGGGCTTTTTGTCTCCACGAACAACTGCCTTCTTTGCCACAAGACCAGAAGAACTCGATGGTGCCCAGCTACTGTTACTGAACATTTTGATCAAAGATTCCATGGAAGAATTCTGATCAAAAGGGGGGAAATGTAGAACAGAATTTCAAATTATAATGGACTCTAGACTTTCTGGAGTCATGGAGGTTGGATGAACCCCTGAAACTATTGCCCTGAGGTAATCTTTAAACCTTAAACCAAAAATATCCCCTGGAGTCATCTTAAAACTGAACAATAGTTTAGCTTAACTAGTAAATAATGTCTGCCTTGAGCATTATGCTCTTTCAGGAACTATCTATATGGGATCAAACTGACAACAGCAACTCGAAAGATTAGATGGGAACCTTAAAGGGTGGTGATTTTATGTTAACAAGGGAGGGACAACTCAGAAACGGAGGGTGAAAATGGGTGCACAACTCGAAGAATGTAATCAGTGTCTCTAAATTGTACATGTAGAAACAGCTGAATTAGTGTATGTTTTGCTGTGTATATTCTCAACAACACCAACAAAATAAAATTTAGGAAAAAAAAATATTGTTGTTAGCTGCCAAGATGGCCTCCAACTCATAGCAGCCTCGTGCACAATGGACACTGCCTGGTCCTCGGCCATCTCCATGATCAGTTGCAGATGAGACTGTTGTGATCCATAGTGTTTTCACTGGCTGATTTTCAGAAGTAGATAGCCAGGCCTTTCTTCTTAGTCCATGTTAGTCGGGAAGCTCTGCTGAAAGCTGTTCAGCATCATAGCAACATGCAAGCCTCCACTGACAGTGGCTGTACATGAGGTGCACTGGCTGGGAACTGAACCAGGATCTCCTACATGGAAGGTGAAGTCCTACCACTGAACCACCAATGCCCCTATTTCTGGATCATAGATACTGATAAAATGAATTAATTCCAACAATTGCAACTACCTGTAGTGAACAATAAGAAAAATATTTCAGCCTTCCTATTTATTAGCTATGTGAACTCGGTCAAATTATCAGCCTCTCTAAGCCTCAGGGGTTGTGAAGAGTACACATCAACACGAGTAAAAGCCTTTGACACAGACCCTGGTACACAGCAAGAGGTCGGTGAAGGTGAGCCAATCGTTGCTGTTGTTGCTAAGTGCAAACTTGCCCTCCAGAAGCTGTGATGTTTTTGGCAAGAGAAGCTTTGCATGCATGAAATAATGCTCTTGATGGGTGGGTGACAGGGACTAAAGGCTGGCAAAGATGAAATAAACCATATACGGGAGGCACTGGAGTCCCTGGATGGCGCAAATAGTTGAGTGCTTGACTACTTGTTGAAAGATTGGTGGTTTGAACCCACCCAGATGTGCCTCAGAAGACAGGCCTGAAGATCTGCTTCTGAAAGGTCCCAGCCTTGAAAGCCCATGGGGCAGTTCTACTCTGCACACACGGGGCTGCCAGGAGTCGAAATCGACTCAGCAACAACTAACAACAATGGGAGGCACTAAGTCCCACACATACATAGGCTCATTTTTGGATAATGCAGTAAGGTAGAATCAAAGTTCTGCAGTGATACTAGAATCCTGATGATACTCCTTATTCCACCATAAAATCCAGAATATTCTTTGTCCTTTTTGCGTAAGAATAAGAAACCCGACACAAGCATGGTGTAACAGGAGTACTGGACTGAACACAAGTCTTGGATTGTGTGAATTTTCAATGATAATTCTAAGGGGTAGAAGAGGACTGATGCCTTTATGCTGTAGGGAGAGTTTTGCATAATGTAAGGAAGAGGTTCCTAACACAGACAGAGTTGTCCAACCATGACATGGCACCCAAGGTTGCTGAGCTCTCAGTGACTAGAGGTCTTCTCACTTGGGCTGGATGGTCTCTTGGTGGATGGAGGAAACTCGAGCACCCCATGGGTGTTGGACCAGGTAGTTCTCAAAACCATTCTAGTGCCAAAGCTTAAGGGTTCTGTGTCATAATGACAAGTCTGAACAACCTAACACAAGAATTCAGTTTGATTTTATTTTTTCAATACTGTTAAGACAGATGTAAATAGGAACAGCATGGAACCATACAGCTATGTTTCAGATCTTGGTTCCATAACTTGCTGGTTTAGGTAAATTATATAATCTCTCAGATACTCACTTGCCTCATCTATAAGATGGGGAGAACAATACCTGCCTCTAATGTTACAACGAGTATTAATATGCTTATACAGCAAAGGGCACTAAGCAGGCCTTCAGTAAATCCTGGGCCCCTTTCCTGATGTTTCCAGAAAAACCTCACAAAGACTATTACCAAGGGCAGGGAAAGGAATATGTTCCCTCCTTCAGATGGAAAGACTTGGAAGGTGGTTTATGAGACAGTCAGCACAGGGAATGGGAGGCTACGAGGAATAGAAAATGCCTGGAATGCAAGTGATTGCATGGAGCTTTAGCCAACAAATCTATTTTTGACTCTTACGAACTACTAAATTAGAAAATGATATTACTGTTAGTAATCTGAAATGGCTCAATAGTTATAAATTAGCATGCTGTTATAGCTTGATCACTTGTACTACTGGGTATAAAAGGCACTTCATCCCCGTGGTTGTTACTACATTGAACGGCAGATCTTTTCTCACGTCTCTGTTGTAATTGACTTGATGGCAATGGGTTTGGTTTGGTTTTTTTGCTCCTTAACTAAACTCTCCTTGCAAAGAGTGTCTATCTGTGCCAGGTTCTGAGGACACCTGGCACAGCAACAGATTAAAAACAAACAAACAAACAAAAAAACCCGTTGCCATCGAGTCGATTCCAAGGTGTTTATTATTGCTGCTGAATTAAGAAGTGTGTACTCATGTGGATACCCTGTGGTTCCCCTTTCCAAAATACATTCATATTTGGCTTTGCAATGTGGTTGTTGACTGAGGAAGGAAAAGGGAGGGAAATGGAAAAAGGGAAAACCCATTTGCCCTTCAGAGTTTGTTCTTATTAGCTAATGTTAGCATCAGTTCTCAATCTCTGAGCCTTAGTCTTGGTGATCCAGGGCTATGTTGAATGAAAAGAGACCAGCATGGCCTTTAAAATACACTATAGAGAATGTAGCCCTGGTGGCACAGTGGTAAAAGCATTGACTACAAGCCAAAAGGTCGGCAGTTCAAAACCATCAGTGGCTTCCTGGAGAAAGATGTGGTAGTCTGCTTCTATAGAGATTTACAGCCTTGGAAGCCCTATGGGGTTGCTATGATGCAATTCAGTGGCAGTGGGTTTGGTTTGTTGGTGTAGAGAATGTACAAAGAAGATAAACTCTACTTTGAGCACCCTTTTTTACCTTCATAAAAATAAAACAGCGTAGATAAGAGGTATGTTTGAATAAAATATAACAATTTAAATAATTTCATTTCCTTATAGTTTGTAAAATAAAACTGAAGTGGCTAAAAAAAGTAAGAGTCTTTACAACATTGAATTTTTAAAAGGAATTTTTATATCCTAAACATACTTCAGTTTAAAAAAAATTTAAAAAATTAAAGGACTAACAAAATTCTGGAGCCAAGTAACAGTTGATGAACACCTGTATACAAGTTTCAGTTGGCTTAATAGAACCCAAGGCATTATTCATGACCAGCTTATTAACATCTTAGTTTCAGAAAAAATAAATTAATCAATAGAATTCACCTGCCAGAAGTCAGCCACGGTAGCAGGAAGTGGTCCTTGGGTTGCAATATATGCAGGACTCCTAGGGTCATGATCCATCTGAAGAGAAAAGATTACAGTAACAAAGATTAGGTTAAAAAATCAGTTCAAGTATAAGGAAGTAATGGTGAAGAAGGAACTGAAGGTATATACTGCACTGACCACCACAGTAACACACCGAGCTGACCCGACTCATGGCACCCCCCTGTGTGTCAGAGCAGAACTGTGCTCCATAGGGTTGTCAATGGCTGATTTTTTGGAAGTAGATCACTAGGCCTTTCTTCTGAGGCCCACTTGAACCACCAACCCTTCAGTTAGTAGCTGAGCACATTAACTGTTTGCACCACCCAGGGACATATTAACTCACTCACCTACAGCAATAAGGAAAAAAGAAAAAGACTCCAGATTGCTTCTGCTTTATTACTCTTCCTTGACGCCAACATGCTCCCACATCAGACAAGACAGCACTGGTAGTTCTATGCCCTGGACCTGGGCTATCATATCTGAAATGCTTTTCTTACATGAAAATGGAGGTTATAGGAGCAACATCAACAGAAATGAAGATCAGTAGCCCACATAAACTAGATGCCAATAAATCAATTCTCTAACCTTAAGACCAGGCTGCTTGGCCATCCAGACCTCCGGCAGGGTGGTGGAGATAAAGGGAAGGAGCAGAGCAGGCTCCGCTGGGCTCTCTAGCTCCCCAGCGCAAGTAAAGTTTACACTACACGTATGCAAATGATTTCAGAGCAATTCAGCCAGGGCTCCCAGAGAAATGACCTCTATTTCCACCCCAGGCTGTACATAACCAGCCCATCTGCAGTAACCACTGGCGCTGGGCCGGCAGAGGGTAAGCTTAAGTTCTTAGCTGAGAGGACGGGCACCGTTCATCCACATACCATGGATAAATTCTTCAGTGTTCTGAAGAATTAATTAACAACTGGCATCCTGCTGCCCAGGAAGAGTTAACTCCTCTACCAGGGGAGCTTGTTTGTGTTTTCCGTACAAGTGGGCTTGCTGGGGCTGGGTCATTGGGCAGGTCCCTCTCTGTGAGTGCCTGCAGCGTGGTAAGTACTTCACGGGCAGTGTGTCCCAGCCTGCAAGTCACTCATTTCCTATTTTGTTTCTACCATGCCAAATGGGGGACTAAAAACAAACAAACAGAAAGGAATGCAGTTGTGGTGTGTGGCTAAGCTGATTTGCCCAAATGCATCCTGCTAGTCTCAATACGGGAAGTTTGGCTTAAAAGACCTTAATTATAACATTTAATTCAAAGACTGACAAAGCAGAAGAAAAAGAATCTGAGAAACAAAGCCTTGAGAAGCTAACAGGATTAAAGCACAGTGCTGAGGGGTACAGATGCACTGGGTACAGTCCTGTCCCCTAAGTCCCAAGCTTGACCATTCTGAAGACGGCAGGAAGACACTAGGCTAGGTGTCAGCCCAGATTTCTTCATCACTGTAATTCCAAAATTACAGAATGTCTCCTCCCCCTCCTACCCCAAAAGGACCACAGAAACCAGTCCCAGAAGACAGCCATGCTGGTGGGAAGCAAACACACGTGGAATCTCCCCTTTCTGTAAGACTGCACTTATTTGTTAGACTTACACAGTCCTTTATTTTTTCATGTCCAGAGCTAGAATGTATTCTTTTGATATCAGGGTCTGCTTAAAAAATTAAAATACTCTGTATTTAAGGATATTATTAAGAATGCATTTCTCAGTACAGTGAAAAATGGGAAAGTTTCAACCACATATAATTCTGAACCTCACATGAAGGACTCCGGCTGTACATTTCCATGTCACCTGAAAACACTGCATCAACGTGCAGCATATTGTCTTTAACAGTAATCTCGCAAATCTGTGCATAGCCTATCAACACGTTCCTTGATGACGGTTGTCAGCATAAAAGAATGCACCTTATAATTATGTACACTATAAAAGAGGGAAAGAGCATAAAAGAACAGATGTAAGTTATTCTAACAGAACAACAATATGATGCTAGCTGAGGGGGAGGGGAGAAGCAAGAAAAAAGCTTTTTGTGCATCTAATTTAGTGATTCATAATTAAAACTGGACCTCATATTGAAATTCACCACAACACACACAATACAGGTAAAATTATGTTACTCTCACTGAAAGCCCCAATTAAAATGTTTCAGTAAGAGAACGTTTAGCAGAAATAAGGAGTTTTGATTTTTTTAAAATATGCACTTGTTGGGGGTGACAGCTATTTACTGAGACCCTTGCCTCTTCTCTGCAAATAGTCATGCATAAAAATTAAAACCCATCTCCTTTCCAAATGTGTGTGTGGGGCATGTGTGTGTGTTTTGCCAAAAGCAATTTGGAGAGCAACACATTTTAAAATTGTGAGTATGCTCAAACTAGTGTATTTAGTTGCTTTCAAAATGAGAAAGATATGATTAAAAGTAAAAATCTGGACAGAGTTTTAGGAGGATAAATAAGGCAACTTTTATGAAAGGTCTTAATTGTTATGGTATTTTAAATTGCTTAAAGCTGGCACTTGTACAAATGCCCAAAGCAGAAGCAGAAAGCCAACGATGTTGTGAGGAAGAGGATCAAACAACGGATAGTCACACTCAGCTCCTGAACTTGGGACTTCGCCCCCTTAGTCCTTCCCCACTGCTCAGCTGCTGTCACAGAACTGCTATTTGGAATGCAGTAAATATCACAAGGATGGCAGAGAGGTGAGATGCGTCACCAGTTGAACTATAATTCAAAAGACAGTTACAATTATTTCATTCCCTACACATTCTGTTGAACAGAAAATAATTCTGGGCAGAAGCACTTCCTCCTTGTAGCAAACATAAGGAACAGGAGGTCTGATCATGGTTTTATGCAGTCTTTAAGTGAGTAAAAGGAAAGCAAATATTTAACTAAATGAACACAAGTTTTATTAAATTTAAGATTTGCAAGGAAGGAGAAGCGTACTTAGAGGAAATCAAGTTCCCACTAACACTATTTTCCCATAAAGGCATTTGACTGACAACCACAACATGGTAAATATGTGTCTTCTCTCTTCCTTAAACCAGTGAGTTGCCATCAAGTTGATTCCAACTCATGGTGACCCCATGTGTGTCAGAGTAGAATTGTACTCCATAGGGTTTTCAATGGCTGATTTTTCAGAAGTAGATGTCCAGACCTTTCTTCTCCCAAGGCATCTCTACTGAAACTCCAGCCTTTCAGTTAGCAACCAAGTGGGACTGCAGGTCTGTTTGGACCTCCTCTGACCCTCATGCTTAATCGTCCCCACCTTCTTTCTCATTATTTCCTCATAGTATACTTTTTATTTGTATGAACGTTATGTTTGTACATACAAACTACGTGACAGTGGAAAAGTCACTCTCTCTCGGGGCCTCAGTCTCAGTGTCTGGGAAATGGTGGCTAGCAGCGGGAGCAAGGGGCTGGACCATATGCTCCCTAAGAGCCTTCTTAGCTCTGGCCTTCTCCAGGCACCTGTATGTGCAGACTCATACACACGTATGTATGTGTGGATATCTCAGCTTTTGTCAGTTATACTGAAATATCAGTGAAAACCTGTAAATTTATTAATTTAGAAGTCATGCTATCAGGTAGGCTGAGCTCTCTGTTCTCACTTCTGAACTGCCAAAGATCAAAGGACTCTGCTTCTGTAAGCGCAGAGTTTACACGCAGTCTAGGAGCACTAGGGGCTGGGCCATCTGAAGAGGGAAAGTGGTGCCATTATTAAACATTTTCTCCTGTAATGAGAGTTTTCTGAAGTAACACTGCCCTGGCAGAGAAGTCAGTATCACAGAGAATCAAATGTTATTCATTGCTTTGTGATTTCACGTAAAATGAAGATTAAAGGGCATCATGACCCAAGTATAATTAGCTAGTATAATTTTGCTTTTACTATGATTTTTTTTTCATTTCAGAAAAAGGAAAAGCATTTGCTTCTGTGGAATCTATTATCTATGTGGTAGACTGGTTCTCATAAAGACACCAAATGAAGTAGGATACAAGTAAGGTTTATTTCTATGTATTTGTAATTATAAATAATTTTAAAAGATCTAGTGATTTGCCTTCAGCTATACAAAGACAATTATGCAATAAGCACGAGTGATTGGTTTTATCTTTAGAAGCACTAATCTGCATAAAAAAGTAACAATAGTCTCCCCAATATTCCAAATAAAACTGGTTTTATAAACAAGTATTCAGCATTTCAAGACCACAGAACCAATATTCTGAAGCTTTGAACAGCGCAAGAACGGCTCCCGAAGGAGGAGTTTTCTGGTGGTGGTGATAGTGAAATGAGGTAGATTCTGCTTCCAAACAAGCCACGGCCACCATGAGCTCTGACTCACACTATGGTCTCAGGTGCCATCAGGGCCAGCCATTGTGGGGGGGCTGGGGAGGACGGGGAGTCACACTGTGTCTTAGTCATCTAGTGCTGCTCTAACAGAAATACCACAAGTGGATGGTTTTAACAAAGAGAAATTTATTCTCTCACAGTCCAGTAGGCTACAAGTCCAAATTCAGGGCGTCAGCTCCAGGGGAAGGCTTTCTCTCTCTGTCGGCTCTGGAGAAAGGTCCTTTTGATGCATCAGTCTTCCTTTGGTCTGGGAGCATCTCAGCGCAGGAACCTCAGGGTCCAAAGAACTCGCTCTTCTCCCGGCACTGCTTTCTTGGTGGTGTGAGGTTCCCATGCATCTTTACTCGTTTCTCTCTTTTATATCTCAGAAGATATTGGCTTAAGACACTATCCAATCTTGTAGACCTCATCGGTATAACCTCATCATAATGATAGAGTTTACAACACATAAGGAAATCACATATAACCTCATCATAGTGATAGAGTTTACAACACATAAGGAAATCATATCAGATTACGCAATCATACAATACTGGGAATCATGGCCCAGCCAACTTGACAGGTATTTTGGGGGGACACAATTCAATCCATGACACACTGCTTATTCTAAAATCTTAGACACTGTGAATACGCGTTTGATTTCTGTAGTTCTCTCTACCCACCCCCACATCTACCTTTTCTAACATTTAAACCAAATTTCACAGAACCTTTTCTTAAAAGCAAGAAAGTATCAAGCCTCAGTTTACAAGTGACTTTTCCAGATACAAAGTCTTAATACTTGAACTCTGGGGAAATTATAACTTTAGGAATTAATGGGAGAGAGACTATCAACTTGCATTCTTCTCATGTTTTATTCTTATGTGTTGAAATGTGTTTAAGTAAAATAGTAATGTAAATCCTAATTATACACACATGCATGTTTGGGTATAAATATTTTCCGAGAATCAAAGAACTGGTTCCCATATTTGGCCAATTTCTTATGATTATCAGGATATCCAACCTATCACGTTTTTCTGAGGAGTAAATTTGTCCCCGTTTAAATGAGTCAAATGCGTTTTCGATTAAAACTTTAAACAATTTTTTTCTTCCTTAATAACAGCAGAATGAAGGTTATTCTTAAGTATCATTAGAAATTCCAGAACTGTTCCTGGCAACAAGGCTTGTATGCTGTGCCTGAGCAAACTGTCATGTTAATGATATTCCTCCGAGTGGTGTCTTCCCTAACTGCCAAGCTGAGTTTTTAAATGTATCTGCTGGGCTTCTGCTCACATACCCTACGCGGGAAAACAGAATTCCCATTTACTTTCATGACCTTTGATTTAAAAGCAAAGATTGCACATTATTCACTACTGGATGATTTCCCTGAAATTTAATGAGGACTATACAGACATGACAGATGTAATTATCATAGTTTTCTTCTGCACAGTCAGGGTCTTCTCATGCTATAATTGCGAGCTTTCCACTCAACTGCTGCTAGCAAGGTTGCTGTTGTCCTTGCAGCTATTTTAGAAAGAGGTACTGTAGGTTTCTTCTAGGCCGTTCTTACAACCCAAATTTGAAAAAAAGAATTGTGGTATGAAATATAGGAAAAATATCAAATGGTACCGTCAAATTACCTCTTTTTCCTAGCATCACCTTCTGACTCAAGTCCCTGGCCCGTGAGGCCTAGGAAGGTCATGCTGAATTTCTACTAATCAAAGAGAAACTGGGAATGGCATGGAGTACAAGAATTCGTATCACACACACCCTTTAATGCCTGCGTGTGTGAGAGTGTAAGCGTTGCTGGGCAGTTTCTGCAGATGACACAGTTCTGCACCAAGCCCCGCTATTCCCACTAAGATTCAGCTTTAGCCTGAAATAGCTCAGACACCTGGAAGTTGGAGTCCACAAAGCAAGGGAAAATTGAGCACAGCCACACACTGAACTTCATTGTCTTAGACTTGAAAAGAATGGCTTTATTCTTTATTCTAACCTTATCGTATGGTTCATTTTAGAGAAAAGGGACCACAACGGGAAGAAAGCAGCTTTTTTTTCTTTTCCCCAGTTTTAAGTTGACATCACTAATACGCACTTTTTAGGGACCAAATCCAGGCCCCTTATAAAACCCAACTTCATGAGAAATTATGTTACATACACAGGGGCAGATTATTCAACAGGCAAGGTAAGCACGGTGCTTACCCTGCTGCTTACCCTGCTTACCAGATCATCTGTAGCAAACAATTTCACATTTCTCACCACATCAAAGATTCTGCTTCTAGGTATGGCTGGAACCTGTCTCTCTCCCAATCCCACAGCATCTTCCTACAGAATCAAAGCCTCTCTTCACGTTTACAATCCCTGACGGGGCGGATGACCCAGCAAGCAAGGTAAGCACAAGCTTACATGTGCAAGTATTAACTCATCTGTCGTGAGCAGTTTCACGCGTTTTCCATCACGTCAAGGACGTGGTGAAACCCATGTGAAATAGTTCACTACAGATTAGTGAGTACTTGCACACGTAAGCCCATGCTTACCTTGCTCACTGGGTCCTCCGTCCCTGTGTATACCTAAAATCAGAGATTAGTAAATCAGTGAGGTTTGGTTTGATTTTTGACTTAGAATTGATAGAAGAAGACTCAACACATCACACTGTAGTAAAAAAAGGCTAAATTAATGGCGCCAAGTGGGAACATGTGAAACAGCAAATGAAACAAATCTTTAAAGTCGGCCTCTGCTGGAAGTGAAGACACGAAAGCACGACTCATTCCACTGTTTTTTCAAAAAAAACAGAAGTACCGGCTCAGGTGGGTGCAGACTAAGTGCATCAGACCAGCTATTCACTTTTAACTCACCTTTCCAAAGTCCAGGGTGTTACACTGTGCTTTCACTGTATGCGGCTGTGACGTTTCCAGAAATATGATTTGATCCACGGTATGCTGAAGTCTTAATAATAAGCTATATACAATATATACTAACATACGTAAATAGAATCCACAACTATACAGTGGTCTACAGTCAACAGTTTCTACTTGTTCTGATCTAAAGCCTACCAGTAAAGGAAGAAAACAGGACTGTCAATACACCACATGAGTGCGTGTTATGAGTCTGGAGATGACCCACTGTCTCTCAGTAACCAACACCACCAGTAAGCTCCCTCTTTCAGGTTAATGAGAACAGCGCTACATCTCCCAGGGACAATATTTGATCGAGTAAATCTGAAATTGTTATGAGATGTCTTGATGCTTCTCAGAAGACCAAATTAGAGAAACACACTTTAAAGAGGTAGACACTGCAACCAGGATTCCTCATAAACACATATTAAATCTCCACCTTTTCCCTGACATTGGGTTACAATGCTGTCAACCATGCTTTCTAAAAAATTCTTTGAACAGTTTCATTTCACTCTTCACACCTACACTCATTCTAACTTAATTTGGAAAAGCCAGTTTGAGTCATCACTTAAATCTGACTTTTTAACCTCTCTCTGCCACTCGCTTCATTTCTCTTTTCTTTGTTCAGCTTTTAGTCAGCGCCTGATTGTCCCCTTTTCAGCCTTATCTGCTACCCCTAAGGCTCTCGACAGGGGAAGAATAATATTCAAGTGCTGCACAGGAGAAGGCAGGCTGATAGCACGAGATCACATCAGGAGTGGGCTGGTAAGGAACTCTCTGGAAGTCAGGAACGCCTGCTATCCACAGGTGTCTTATACCAAGTGAGTTATAAGAAGCTGCTATGCCAATTTTTCCAGAAATAGAAAATATTTCAAATCTCTTGCACTCCTCTAAAGCATCAGTTCCCTGAGTAAGGAAACAGTCACAAAGCACTCTCTTTTTCTTAAAATAAAGGCTTCCACCCACTGGCAAAACCTGAAGGGAACTAACCTATTATTGTGAATCTGCCTTAGCGTCCTCAATTGTTTAGAAAAGTAGCAGGTTTGGGTTGGGCTTTTTCCCATCCCCCTGAAAAACTAAAGGAAGGAGCAACTCTAGAAAATGAAAATACAACCAATTAAGAATTCTTCCAAAAAGTCACAGGTTCCTGTCAGTAAGTTACCAAGCTGCTGTTGCTGAACATTGTACTTGTCCCTAGACCTACCACACCATTTCCACCCCACTTAACGAAGCAGCTGCTGCCTGGCGTGAGAGGTCCAGGCAGGAACCCTCAAGAGGACAGGCTGAGGGATGGAGAGCCAGCTTCTGCCGGTATCTGCTTGAGACTGTTACCACCTTACTACCTACAGCATGGCCCAGACTCGACTTCCCCTTAAGAACTTCTCTTGTGATGTGGCTACATTCATGCCGAGAAAGAAACCAAGAGCTGACTTTTAACTCAGGTTATATACTTACGATGGGGCTGGCGTTGATGTAATCAGAGTTGCTGTGGCTGTTTTCCAATTTCAGCAGTATCCTGGAGTGATCATCTGCAAGCAACACCACGAACAAACAGTTAGATTTCCACACAGCCCTTGGTCTGTTTAGAGAGCATGTTACGTCGCTTTAACAAGGAATGTCCAATACCCTCTCAGGCCATAAAACGCCATTCCAATGCTCTCCTCTTCGGGATTCTCCTCTTAACTCTGCTGAATTGTCTTTGTTGTGTACTTTTTCCTTTCTGTTCTCCGTTTATGACCCTTACGTCACATCATAAGTCGTCTAAAAACAGGGTGTTGGGGGCGGCGGGCGGGTGGGGGGGAGACAACTCAAAGTTCCCACATGGTAGAATTTAGATGTTCTTATTTAATTTTCAAATAGTAAGATTCGGCATTCTTCTATGATACTTTATATACAATGTTTACCTTCAAATTAATAGACATATTTGCTAACATTCTGTAAATAAATACAAATACGAATACTAAGCTGTGGGCCAATGTTCAAAATATAAAGTTCTGTAATCTAAAAAGGGAATTCCTAGGTAGGGCTATAGGGTCCTATAGGGTTGCTCTGAGTCGGAATCAACTTGGTGGTAACGGGTTGGTTTCTGGTTTAGGTGGGCGAACAGCTAAGTGCTCCACTACTAGCCAAAAGACTGCCAGTTCAACCCCCCCCCCCCGAGGCACCACAGAAGACAGGCCTGGCAGTCTACTTCCAAAGAGTCACAGCCTTGCAAATCCTGTAAAGGACAGTCTACTCTGCACACACTGGGTGGCCATGAGTCAGGACACTAGACAGCAGCTAACAACAACAGCAATCTAAAAAGAGATAAATACAAATACTTGAGAATACAGGAATTTTGTTTTAAAAGCAGAGTAAGAGAAAAAGGGAAAGCAGATGGAAGGGGACGAGAGGAGAAGTTTACAAGTGGAAACTTACTCACATATAAATGTACCTCAGACAGGCAAACCAATCTGATTTATGTTGAAATCAGACACAACAACTGGGATTGGTGACACTTCTGATTTGTCAGAGCTCAGTGCATTTCATACATGAATTATTCTTCATTTTAGTTCTGAAAGAGTCACCACCCTGCTTACTCTGGCATACGTTTTTGCCTTGTTTTTCAGGAACTTTTTGTTTTTCAGGAATGTGGCCTTCTGTGGGAAGTCAACGAGGGCCTGCCAGTGAGCGGGAGTCAGGGACGTTGGCTGGGTCAGCTTGGGCAATGTCAAGCCCTGCCAAGTTCACAGTGGGGGGAAACACCCAAGACCTCCCTATCCCTATGCCTTCTCTGCAAGGTGCCAGCTGAAAACCGAAAGTGATACCACATGCTCAGCTCTCTAATCCTTTGCTCCAATGAATGTCTTTTTTGGTGGTACACACGATACCATGTATTTTATTTTCTTCTGAGAAAATAAAGACAGCCTGAGGCTGGGACAGTAGAAGCAGGGTTTTCAGCTGGGTGAGCTGGTCCCGCCCTCCTGTGCCTCGTGGACAGACAGCTGCCTGCAGACCGCACTGCTCCCCAAGGAGATGGCTCCCAATCGTGAAAAGCAGTTCAGGAGAGGCCGCGAATGCACGGGCACTCTGCTTCTGTTTGTGCTTCTTTCATTTCTCTCATAGCTTTTGTTTACACTTTTTTTTTTTTTTACAACACTTGCTGGGGTTGGGGAACTTGGTGAGTCCCGTAACTGACTGAACTTGGAAAGCATCACCTATTGGAGACCAGTGTATCGGAATTTACTTAAGACTAGGTTGGACACCATTCCATCAATCTTATTAAAATATTAATATTTTCAGCCACAAAGAGAAATGATACATTTTGGATACATGCTATGGTATGGATGAACCTTGAAAACATTATGCTGAGTGAAATAAGTCAGACATGGGATGACAAATATTGTATGATCCCACTTATGTGAAATAGCTGTAATAAACAAACCCATAGCAACAAAAGTTTTTTAGTGGTTACCAGGGGCAAGGGAAAGGACAAATGGGAGTTACTGCTTAAGGGGTACTAAGTTCCTGTTTGGGGTGATAAAAAATCTTTTGAAAATGGACAGTGGTATTGATTGTACAACCTGGTGAATGTAACTAATGTTTCTGAATTATACACTTAAAATTATTAAAATGGAAAAGTTTTGTTACATGTATTTTAAAATAAACTTTAAAAAAAAATTCATGTTAACTTTTTCAGTAGGACAAGATAAATAAGAAACATCTAGAGGCAGGGAAGAGTTTATATATTACATGATATATTTATATGTAGATACATTATATGTGCCCAAATGTTGTGGGCCACATCATTCCAGCAGCCTTTTATCTGCAGTATGAATAATGATACAAAAATCCCACGGACTGAATGGCTTTGGGCTCCCATGAACTTATTTTTAAGAGATTGAAAAATTGGCAGTGGCAGGAAATTGAAATAAAATTTACCAGAAAAATTGGTCAACTCTGACATCCTAACCCCACAGAAACACCATCAGAAAAAAGGAAGCTCAAGAGGCTCAATTTCACAGTGTGCTGCCACATGGACACATCCAAGCAAGAGACGAATATTCTACTCAGAAGTAGGTACCCTTTTCTAAAGGGGGTGCCCCGGGCCTATTGTTCCCACCTGCACGGAACTGTGGAATTAAAGAGCAGGACTTGTAGCTGCTTCCAGAGGGGCCCCCAGGAGCCTGGCCTCATTATAAATATTTTCAACACAGACAACTCTAGACACTTGTGATATAGTGACAACTGGGCACTGCTCCCGATTGTCTGAAAAACCTTTACAAAGAGCAGGTCGCCAGCACAGAGAGCGGAGCGAGCGGATGGGGAAGAAGAATTACAGCCTACGATTTCCTGGCTTCAGGAATTGCAGGTTTTGAACGTGCTAAATGCGTCCAAAGACAAACCGTCCCCCCTCGTGAGCTCAACAGGCACTTGGAGAAAGCCCGGGCTTCAGAAAGCAGGCTGCTTGGTTGGTCTGGTCACAAAGGGGCTGTGGGGCATTACTCTGCAGGCAGTAAGCAGCAAAGAGAAGGCGGCTGGTGCTTTCGTGGGGTTTAGTCAACAAGTGTCACCTGGACCTTCTAATTGAAAAATTAAGAAAATGTTCAACAAGTTTAAGAATCTCACTGAAATAAAAATGCAACTTCAGAGCACTGTATTCTAAATGGTAGATGGGGACAGTCTGTCCTGTGCCCCTGAGCCTCAGCTTGTACTGTTGATTTTAACTAGATGAGGATTCCACAGAATTTCTGAAGTTTCTCTTTTTTGAGAAGTATTTTATTAGTTGCATTTGTTTCCCCTTTTGTCACCATTTTAAAGGTAGGACTGAGTCCTTGGGTTGTGCAAATGTTAATGTGCTCAGCTGCTAACTGAAAGGTTGGTGGTTAGAGTCCAACCAGAGGCCCCTCAGAAGAAAGGCCTGGTGATGTACTTCTGAAAAATCAGTCACTGAAAACTTTATGGAGCACAATTCTACTCTAACACACACGGGGTTGCCCTGAGTAGGAATCAACTCAAGAGTGACTGGTTCGTTTTGAGTCTAGGTCAGAAATAGTTCTTCTACCTTCCTCTCCTATATTTGATCTTGCAGCAACAGGTTGATTCTAAAATGAACAGTGAGGTTACTTTGTAATATTGGACCATTTTGAGCCTCAATTTGAAATGACTGGAATATCCTGGAAGGGTCAGAGTGGTGCTTGTTAGGGTCCAGTGGAGGGAGGGTAGCATCATGTAAGAGGGGTTGTGATGACTTTCATTTCGCTGGACAAATCTCTTCACTCTTGTGATTCACTCTTCCTGTTCATCGAATGGACCAATGGACCTATCTTGTTTTTTAAGAGATGTCATGAGAGGAAATGACAGGACGACATCAAGTTCTGAACATCCTAAAAGACAAAAGGCCAGGTTTAGTATGGCCACCTTTGTCCTTCATCATGCAAAGGGAGGGCAGCCTGGCATGGCAGGTTTAGGAGATTCACACAAGGTCAAAAGGCAAGTTGGGGTGAAGCCAGAACCAGAGTTTACAAGCACAGAATTCTCCCTCTCACTTACGCTCGATTTCTGGAATACTGCTCCTTCCTATTCTCAGTATGAAACACACACCCACTTCTCATGGGAGCAAATATAACACAATGACCTCAACCTCCAGGCAAGATTTATAATAACCCAGATGCTTACATTTCCATTAAGAAGCAGGAGCGCTCTTCAAAAACTTAGCCTGAGAACACACTTAGAAACCAGGAAGACATGGGAATTCAAGTGGCTTCTTTCTTTCTGTATCTGGCCCTATAACTTTCTGAGTTATTTTTCCCCAGTAAAACATACAATCAGACATTTTATCAGGAAGGAAAGGAGAAAAACACCAAGAAGAAACTTGTTGAATTAACACATTGTGTTTCCCCTTTTCTGAACTCCTCAAGCATTTATCATGTATTAATGCCTTATTTAAGAATATTTCACATTTCTCTAATAGTCTATATTTTCTAAAAGCGGTTTCACATATATCATCTTCATTCTCCCTTGAACACTATGACACAGATCGGCGAGGTACTATTTTCCCACTTTAGAGCTGAAGAAACTAACGCCGAGAAGGACCAAATGACATACTTGACAACGGCCGTATGGTCAGCAGGTAAGAGCAGGTTGAAATCCTGTCTCTGCCACTTACTACTACCACCACTTGCCATCGATTCGACTCTGACCATTGGTGACCCCAGGTGTGTCAAGAAGAACTTCACAGAGTTTTCCATGGCTGAGTTTTTGGAAGTAGATCACCAGGCCTTTCTTCTGAGGCACCTGTGGGTGGACTCAAACCTCCAACCTTTTGGTTAGCAGCTGAGTGTGTTAACCATTGCACAACCCAGGGACTCCCTGCCACTCACTAACCAAAAAATTAAACCAGTTGCCGTCAGGTTGATAGTTGCCACTTACTAGCCAGGTGATACTTAGGTAAATTACTCAGTATTTTAAGCTGTCAGATTTCTCATCCAAAATGTAGGATAAAAATATCTAACTTGATGTGATAAACGGTATACACACACACACACAC